GCAGCTCCCTCGTGCTGGAGCCTTGCGCTGGCTTCCGTTCCGTTCCGTTGTCTCTGACAAGGCTTGTTGATCAGCCCTGTGCCCAATCGGGGGGGAGGGGGGCATGGCGGGCGCGGGAGGACTATACATATATATATATATATATATATATATGTATGTCTGTCTGTCTGTCTGTCTGTCTGTCTGTCTGTCTGTCTGTCTGTCTGTCTGTATGTATGTATGTATGTATGTATGTATGTATGTACGTATGTATGTGTATATGTATGTATGTATGCATGTATGTATGTGTGTATATCATTGCCGTGTGTTGTAATTATGGGTATTGTGTTCTCTGCGCCCCGCCGCGCCCCGCAGGGAGTATCCCTCTGCTCCAGGGCTCCCTTTGGTGGGGCCCCTGGGGGAAACCTGGTGGGCTACCTTCATGGCGGCGAGCCCAGGAGGGAAGCGAGAAGGGCAGGCCTTCTCAGAAGGCGGCGGGGCTTCCCAAAAACTGCCCAGCCTTCTGAGAAGGGGTTTCTGTCTGCGGAGCAGGCTTACGCGGTTTCTCAGAAGGCGGGGCGGTTTCTGCTAGGCCCCGCCGCCTTCTGCGAAGGCTTGTCCCTCTTACTTCCCCCCTCACTAGTTGCCAGTTTCACCGTGCCCCCTCAATGTTTTGGAGGTGCCCCCCCATTGGGAGTTGACGATCCCAAGGGTGACTTCTAGGCCGGTTGGGGTGGTCTGGTAGGCAGTCACCCCTTGGTCGATGATCTTCGGGGCGCGTGTTAGCCCAATGGGCGTTTGTCAGGCGATCGCAAACATGGTTCAAGGGGGCGTGGATTAGCGACGGGTCCCGTTTCCGTAGGGAATCGCAGATTTCCGCGGCCGAGCAAAGCGGCACACCCGCATTTGGGGGAGTGATTCTTTTCCGATCAATGGACTTGGCGACCGCGCGCCAAGTCCACGGATCGCTGATCCATGCTTGCGCGCCCCAGGCAATTCCACCGATCTATCATTGCACCGCTTGCAGCGTATAGAAGCATCTCGCTGGACAACACGCACGTTGGTGCCAGCATTAAGTCGGGCCTGTCCCTCTACAGGAGGATCATTCATCCAACATAGTCAAACAAAACATAGCCAGGGGAATCTGTATTCATTATATGTCGACTTTTTCTGTATGTTTGGCTACTTCTTGTTCTTCGTTCACAGTCCGCCTGTAGGAGGACACGCCCAGCCTAAGGCCAGCACTCGTTCTGTGCATCCCCGACCTGGGCTCGCCGCCGCCCCCTGGTGCTCGGGGCCGTTCGCCCACGAGGGCCCCGCCTGCTCCCCGGGCCGCCGCGGGAAGGGGGGGGAGGGGGAGGAGGGGGGGGAGGAGGGAAGAGGGGAGTGGGGGGGAGGGAGGGGGAGGAGGAGGAGGGGGGGGAGGAAACGGGGGAGGAAACGGGGGAGGAAGGGGCAGGAGGGAGGAGGAGGGAGGGGGGAGGAGGGAGGAGCGAGGAGGAGCGAGGAGGAGGGAGGAGAGGGGAGGGAGGAGGCAGAGGAGGGGTGGGGCAGGGCGGCCCTCGGCGCGTGGCGCCCCTGGCCCCGCGGGGGCGCCGACCGGCGAGAGGGCGCGCCAGGGTGCCCGCGGCCTGGCGGGCACGGCGAGGGGACAGGGCCAGGAGACTTCGGGGGCTGCAGCCGTCTGGGGGGTCTGGGGTGGCCCAGCACGGGGTTAAGGAGGGGAAGAAACACACAGACACAACTAATCGTCGATTCCCCAGAAAATGTGGGAAAATATGGGAAGTGGGGGGGAGACGAAACCCCCAAAAATAAACGAACATATGGGGAGTCCTTTTATCTGTGTCTACTTATTTGTGTGTCCCAGGGCCCCTTCATGGGTTCGGGGATGCCTCACTTCTTGCCTTTTCGGCCTCCCGGGGGCCGTTTGCGGCCTCCAGGGCCGTCCTCACGGATCCAGGGGCGGAGCACCGTGCCAGGTGGACACCGGGAGGGTTCCAGGGACTGAGTTGGGAGAGATCTGGCCTCACCCCCCTTCCTGACCTGTGCTTCTGGGGTCCCAGCTAGTTTAGAGCCTTGGCCGCCTCCAATTCGGGGGCGTCCAAGAGGGGGGTGGTGACTGGAGGGGGTGGATCTCGTGGCGGGGGCCATGATATCTCTCTAGATTTCATGGTCCCTCATCTTCTTTGAATACGTCCCCTGGCACCCTGCTGGGCCGCGCACATGCCTCGGGCCATGATTTGCAACCTCTGTTATGTACGCCCCCTTTTTGGATGCCCCGAGGCTTGCTGTTCCGACGGCTCTTCACCTTCACATGGCATCGGGAGGGGGCAGTGTGTGTTCTGGGCCTCCCATCTGGGGGCCGAGTAGATGGGGTCGGTGGACCGCGCCGCATCGCCGATGCATTGGGGATGCAACTCGACTGTCTCCTTGCCGGCGTCGCCGATGCATCGCAGATGTCGCCGATGCATCTGCGATGCATCGGAGATGCGGCGCGATCCTCCGACTCCATCTACTCCGACTCCATCTACTCGGACTCCATTTGGGCAGTCTCTAGAAGGCTTGTCTTCACCTTCACCTTGGGGAGGACCGGGTAATGTGTTGTCACCGTGGCACGGGCGCCACGTTGTTCAACACATACACGAAGGGAACGTTGTATGTTTGCCAGTTTGCGGTGTTTGATGGTTCAGCTTTGGTTCCCAGTGCAGGACGACCGGGCTATTGGATTGAGCCTAGCCGTAGAAGATGTGCATCGCCGTGTTCTAGCCTCCGGAGCCCCGTCTCGGGTTGCGGGACCGCTGGAGATCGATCCAGGCCAGAAAATTTGCGACGGGTGGACCCGCATGGGTATCTGCGGCTTGGTTGGTTCGGCTGCTCAGCGGCCACTGCCCCCATCCCCATCCCGACCACCACCCTCCTGCCACCCCAGTTGGGGATGTGCCCCTCGAAACTCGAAGGGAGCAGCACACATGCCCACCCAGGGGGGTCAATCGGCCAGCGGGGCCCATGCCACGCCCGTGGGGACGGGATGGGGATCGGCTCAACGATGCTTAGCTGTTTCGCTGTTGGCTGCATGCGGTGGGCTCGGCTCGGGAGCTTCGGGGGTGAAAATTGAGGCCGTGGTCATGGGGTGCCGCCAGAGATCCAGCGCACTGACAAAAGTCGAGGCGGAGGTTTTTCGCCGCCGTTTTCGGCCTCTGGAGGCCAGGCCTTGGGGCCGTCAACAACACGACTCGGGAGGAAGACCCGGGCCTGGCGAACGAGTCGAGGCTTCCGGGGGGGCTGCCTTGAACACACCACGACGTCGGATCTTTGGGCTCTCCGACAAGAGCCTGGTTTGGGGGATCAAGCGCCGAGCCACAGTCGTGTCCTGGGGTGCGTTTGGGTCAGAATTTCCACGGGCATCCAGCCATGGTGTGGATCCTGCAAGAGGCCCAGAGAGACCCGCGTCAAATTTGGATTCCAGAACGACGTCGAAGCCTGATCCTGGAACTATTGAGACCTCTAACAGGCGGAGATGGGCCTCGAGCCTCGAGCCTGGAGTTTTGATCCTCGACTCACGTCGAACCTGGATCCTCGAACGTCGAGCCTCGACTTCTGAACGACTCCGGCCTCGACGCGGCGAAAACATGAGCCCGAGCTTCGAGCCTCGACTCTTGATCGTTGATGCTCGAACGGCGTCGAACTTTTCGCATCGAGACTGGAGCCTTGATTTGCGAGCGACTTCGACCCCGATCGACCCCGACATTTTATCCTCGATGTTCGTCTCCAGATCCTCGCAATACTCCTGACATCGAGGCGGCGAACCGACTGCAGTGAAGCTGCATCTCTCGAGCTCTGAGCCTGGCGCCTCGAACGTCTCGGGCATCGAACTGGTGCAACATCTACGCCAGGGGTGGAGAGCCTCGATCCTTGACTCTCGAACAAACGCAGGACCTCTAAGCAAGGACCTTGATCATCGAGCTGGCAAGATGCTCGTATGTTCAATATGTGGACAGACTTCAGTCAAGCAAGCGATATTATGGTGTTGTGCAAATCTCAGTGCGAAGCGATCACATGATGGTTTAGTGTGGAGAGAATGACTGGCATGCTACTCATATCATGACGTGAGGCTGATCTACGTCATTATTGTTGGTCACTGCGGTCGTGAGCCCATGTGACATATTCCAGCACAGACGCAGAAAACACTGAGTTCGAAGCCGCGAGGCACTGCCCCGAGCGCCTCCACCCCGCCGCCCCCCCCCCCCCGCCGCCGCTCGCGGCATCGCGCTGCCTTGCAGAGCCCAGAGACTGTCGGAAGCGTCCGAACACCTTTGGCAAACCGTCGAAGCGCATGGAAGGCTCTCGAGCCTCGAGCCTCGGACGTCGATCTCCGATCGAGCGACGACGACATCGACGACAAGGATCGCCTAGTCGCGGAGCATCGTCGACGGCGACGCGCTGCAGACCGTCCAAATCGTCGACCCCGAGCTTCGAGCGCCAGAACCCTCCTCCTCCTCCTCCTCCTCCTCCTCCTCCTCCTCCTCCTCCTCCTCCTCCTCCCCCTCCTCCCCTCCCCTCCTCCTCCCTCCCCTCCTCCTCCTCCTCCGTCCTCCTCCTCCTCCTCCTTACTCCTCCCTCCTCTCTCCTCCTCCTCCTCCTCCTCCTCCTCCTCCTCCTCCTCCTCCTCCTCCTCCTCCTCCTCCTCCTCCTCCTCCTCCCTCTCCTCCCTCCCTCCTCTTCCTCCCTCCTCATCCTGCTCCACTCCTCCTCCGCCCTTCTCCTCCTTTCCCTCCTCCTCCTCCTCCTCCTCCTCCTCCGCCTCCTCCTCCTCCTCCTCCTCCTCCTCCTTCCTCCTCCTCCTCCTCCTCCTCCTCCTCCTCCATCTCCTCCTACTCCTCCTCCTCCTCCTCCTCCTCCCTCCTCCTCCTCCTCTCCTCCTCCTCCTCCTCCTCCTCTCCTCCTCCTCCTCCTCCTCCTCCTCCTCCTCCTCCTCCTCCTCCCCGCCCCCCCCCTTGCGCCGTGCCTCTGCGCGCGCCGAGGCACCGCCCGGGGCCAGCCGGGGCCCGCGCAACTGGGCGCCCTGGAGGCCCCCCCTCCCGCGGGGGGGGGGGGGGGCGGCCCCGCCGCCCCGACAGACCGCCTCGCGCCGTTGTCGATCCGGGGCCGACGGCTTCGCGCGCCATCGGCCTCCTGGGTCGAAGGAGGGAAAAGGGTACCCCATACTGCTACTCTTTGCCAGTTTTCCCCGTGTTCGGCCTCTTGGGAGGCCCCCTCATGCGGGGGGGTGGGGGGCGGCCCCGCCGCCCTGACAAACCTCGGGGGTGGACAGAACCCCCAAACAGTGAATCGTCCGTTTTCCGTTCTCGAGAGGGCCTCGCGGCCGCTATTTTCCAGGCTTGTGCCCGCCAGGTTTGGGCCTCAGGTCGTTTTCACTAAACCACGTTCTACTAGAGGGGGGTCTGTCCATCCCCGAAAACCGCCTCGCGCCGTGGTCAATCCAGGGCCGACGGCTTCGCGTGCCATCGGCTGGGTCGAAGGAGGGAAAGGGTACCCATACTGCCACTCGTTGCCCGTTTTGTCCCTGTTTGTCTGCCTCTTGGGAGGCCCCCGCCGCCACCGCTGGATTCGCCCCGAGACCCTGGTGAGCACGCACCCCAGGAGGGGTCCGGGAAGCAGCAGTATCGGTACCTTCCGGTTTCCCCGAACCGGGGATCGGCCGACCCCTCTCCCAGGCTTTGTGGGGCTTGCGACGATTTTTCCTCGTGTCGACGACTTCTGACGAACCAACAACACACACCCATACCCATAGGGGGTCGGAGAGGGCTGTGGGCGCGTGTTGTCGGATGGGGGTCCCCGCTCGAACGGGAGCGTTCCCCAGGGTCCGACATCCCGCAAACACAGCCATAGCCAGTCCTCCTCCCAACGACCCCCCTGTGGGTATGGGTGTGTGTTGTTCGTTTGTCAACTTCCTCGTGCCGAGAAATCAGAAACGGCATAAACGCAACCTTGTGGCGCTCCTCGTGGATTTCTTGGGTCCGCGTCTGGGCCCCGCCCTGGCGGCGATGCCGGCGCCTCCCCCGGCGCGCTCCGCTCGCCATGGAGGGGGGCCCAGGTCAGATCCAAGAAATCCGCGCGGAGCGCCAAAAGTTTATGTTCATGATGTTTTTCTTCTTCTCCTAAGGCCGACGACTTCCTCGCGCCATCGGCCTCCTCGGGCCCGTCATCGCAGGGTCCGTGGCGATCCGATCGATATATAATCGATTCGGTGTCGATTCCGGCTGGCAGGGTGCGATCCGATCCCGATGTTCCGGCGGTGCGAGGCGGCCCGATGTTTGCATGGCGTTGTGGTGCATCTTCCTCCTCCCCCCTCTCCTCCCCCCTCTTCCTCCTCCCCCTCCCCTTCCTCCCTCCTCCGCGTGCTCCTTCCCCCTTCCTCCCTCTTCTTGCTCCCTCCTCCCTCCGAGGGCTTGCGCCCTTTCCCCCCATCGTCCCCGCACGCATGCGGCACCCTGGGACACGCCAGGACGGGGGTTCTGCTTTGTTGTCGGCCTCTGGGGGCCGGCTTCGGGTGGCGGGGCAGCAAACGGCAGTAGGGGAAAGAAGAATGACATCAACACAAAAAATTGTAGGTCCGCGAGGCGGACCTCCGAGTTTTTATGTTTATGCCATGCTTCGTTCCCCCAGACGACGGACGAGAAGGCGGCCTTGGGGACAGGTTGAGGAGATTCGGGGGCCCCGGTTCGAGCAAAGCCACCGCAGCGGATGCATGAGCAGTGCCCCCTTCTCATCCTACCTTGGTCGATCTCTTCATCCTCTTGGTCATCCGGCCCCTCCTCGTCGTCCTCTCCCGCCCCCTGTTGCGCCCTCCCCGACTGCCACTCGATTCCCCTCCTCCTCGTCCTCCTTCCCCTCTTCCTCCCCCCCCTCCTGGTCCTCCTCGTCCTTCCTCGTCCTCCTTCCTCGGCCCCTTCCTCCTCCTCGTCCTCCTTCCCTTCCTCCTCCTCGTCCTCCCCCGTCCTGGCCGTTTTTCTCTGGGCATCTTCCGTGGGCCTTCGTGCCGCCCACGGCTGCTCTGCGGGCCCTCCTCCTGAGCCGTCACCTCCCTCTCTCGCCGTCGTCGTCCGTACCTCTCTGCCTCCTTTTCCTTCCGCGGGGCCCTCCGGGGCTTCACTTCACGCGGCCCTCGGGCCAATGTCTCCTCCTCCTCCTCCTCCTCCTCCTCCTCCTCCTCCTCCTCCTCCTCCTCCTCCTCCCCCTCCCCCTCCTCCTCCTCCTCCTCCTCCCTCCTCCTCCCCCTCCTCCCTCGGGGCTCCATTCCACGCGGCCCTTGGGCCCATGTCCCTCCTGCTTCGGGTCACGCTCGAGCCTGCTGCGTCGGCGCGCGCGCCCCCCGGGGTCCTGGCTCCAGGCCCGTCGTGGCCCGCTGGGCCCCCCTTTCGTCGCGGCATTCCTATGTCGTCGGGCGGGTGCAGTCCCACGCATTCGACTCGTTTTCGTACCCTACAGTCGGGGCCCTGAAGAAGGAACCCTTTTCGTTGGGGAGGGGCTGAGGTTTTCCATGGGAAATCGAAATTCAACTTATGGCAGAAAGGGGCCCCGTTCCTTATTTAGGGTTCCTTATGTAAACGCCCCGACCCTATCCGACACCACACGTTTCACGAGCGTATGCACACTTCAGCATTTCGCGAGTGATTCTACCGAGCAGCTTGCCTTCCTTGCGTATTGCTGCCGCAGCCGCCATCGTTCTGCAAGTACTGGACGAGAGGTGCGGGCCCAACATCGCGTCGTATCTTACCCTTCCCCCCTCCTCCACCTCTCCCTATCCCTCCACCTCCTCGCCCTCCCCTCCTCCCCCTCGCCAGTCCGTATCCCACTCTTTTACCCAAGTCCGAACATGTATGTTATTTCAATGCACGGCCCTGCAGGTCCCGCCTCTTCCCCAGAAGTAGTTGTTCGTCCTGGGATCGTCCGTGTTTCATGGTCGGGGGGCCGGGATTTGCCGCCAGAGGCAGAGATCGGGGGAAACCCGTCGGGACTGAAACAATATTGACGTCGAAGATCTGGGACCCTTTCCGTCCCTCCCTCCTGCCCCCATCGGATGGGCTGATTTTCCACCACCACTAGCACAGGTAGGACAGGGGGAGAAGAGAGAAAGGGGAGGTTCTCCTCCTTCTCCTCCGCCTCCTCCCTCTCTCCCCTATGGTAGCGATTGTGGAATTTCGGCTTATCATCATTGTCGTTCATCCTCCCTCTCCCTCCTCTTGTCCCTCCCCGCGCTGGGCCCTCCGTGGTTTTTTGTAGTCTTTGTTCGACCATGGCGGCCCAGGCTCCACGCCTCAGGCTGCAGTGGCTTTCATCTAGGCCTCCTAGATGAGGTCGGAGCAGATGGGGTCGGAGGATCGCGCCGCATCGCCGATACATCGCCGATGCGGCTCGATGTGGAGCCCGATTTGCTTCACGTCGACGTTGCCGATGCATTGCCCACGTCGACGATGCATCGCCGGCGCATCGCCGATGCATCGCCGATGCATCGCCGATGTGTCGGCGATGCGGCGCGATCCTCCGACCCCATCTACCCCGACCCCATCTAGGAGGCCTCTATTTCAGGCGCCCCCTCCTCCTCGCTGCCTGTCTTCCGCTTCACCGTCGGACGCTTCTTTCCTTGCTTCACAGTCGTCAGGCACTCCGTTTTTCCGATTCGTTTTTGTCCATATTTTCCGGGAGGGTTGCCAATCGCGCGCTCTTCTGCCCACGTGTCCTTCTGGATGCTCGGCTCCGTGCTGGTAGTGGTGCACTCATGAGTGCACCACCACCAACCCATGAGTGCACTCATGAGTGCACTCACGAGAAGGCCCAGCAAGATCCCATGTGCACTCACGGGATCTTTCTGGGTCTCCTTTGTGTAGTCCCGGAGGGTTCTCCGGCGCCCGCCCCTCCAATGGCGTCCCCGTGGGCGCCAGGCGGCCTGGTCCACGCTGGACGACCTCGGCGCTCGCTTCCCCTCGGCGGGGCGGAGGGGGGGGGGCTGTCGCGCGCGGGCACCAGTCGCCAGGAAGGGAGCACAGAGCTCCGACGACGACGGTCTGGGTCCCCTCGGCTACTGGGGGGGCGTTTCGCACAGGCCCTCCGGGATCCGGCCTGCTGAAACACCGGCGGCGGAGGTGCTCGCCGTGTTTGGCTTCTAGACGCCCTCGCCGGGCCCCGGGACCGTCAACAACACGACTCAGGATGGATAACTGATCCTGCGGAATTGGTCGAGACTTCCCGGGGTCCCGTAGTGAAGAGATCACGGCATTGGTTTTCTGGGTCGGTGGAAGCTCTCCAGCCTCGGGGGTGATTTCCCGCATCTGCGCCCTGTGGGGAGCTTCCTGGGGAGCTCCGAGTCGTCCCGCATGCCGCGCAAGATCAGAGTGATGACCCGCAAGCATGTTGTCCGAAAACACTTCTGCTTTCACGTCCGCAGTTTTCGTTCGACCTCGGCCTGTCTGGTCTGGTCTGCGGCCGCAGGAGCCGTCGCGTGGCGGTCGAAGCGGCCACTGGGTCCCAGAGGCCAGCGCGAGCTGCTCGACGACTACAATTCAATTGGTGTGTGTGTGTGTGTTTACGCTGGGGTGCAGTTTGCGATCTGCATCGTTGGGGGGGGGGGGGGCGCGGCGGAGAACTCTGTCGAGGTCCTCGCAGCCCCCCCAGGGTGCGCGTTGCGAACCGCGCCCTTTTTCAAGCCACACCCCTCGAAATCAACGAAGGGCGCACAGTGGAACGAATGGCGCACAGTTGGCGAAGCGGGAGAAGAGAGAGGGGTGGCCGCCAGGAGAATGGGGAGGGCGCTTACCCACCAGAGCGTGAAGTTAATCGTGTGCAGTGCCAGCCGCTTCTGGCTCCCACGCGAGCCTTGCACAGGGGGCGTGATGGCAGATCCAGGGGAATCGGGAGCTTCGGATCGCCATGTCAGTGCATCCTGCCATGTCTGCCAGAGTAGGATGGTCGTTTGAGCGGGGCATCGAGGAAGACCAGAGAGGCACCTGGGCTATGGCCGGGAGGTGCAGAGTGCACGCGGTGTGGGCGTATTGGCCGCGCGAGACCGTG